TGTTGTTGGTGGTGGGTGGTGGTGGTGGCAGAGTAGATGTGCAGGGCGGCGATGATGAGGTGGGTGAGGGCGATGTGTTCGGTGTAAATGAGGGAGAGGAGGGAGATGGGGCGGTTGAGGGCGTCGTGCGTAGTTTGGTGGTAGATGATGAGGCGGGGGAAGTTCCGGGCGTGGGGGCTGGCGCTGGTGCAGGGGGGGTAATGGGGTTTGCGGAGGTGTTTGTTGATGTCCATGATAGGGAGGTGATTAGTGGGAGGATGGGCCTCATGTTGGTGTTAGCGATGCTGGTATCTGACTGAATGGATGACCAAACCAGATGGCACGCACATGGGCGGTCGGAATATGGAGTTAGCTTCCTGTCCGAGAGATGAATGTTCCCTTTTTTGGAACAATAGAGCGGAAAGCACAGCCCGCAAGTGCTCATTAATTCAGAAACAAGTACCGACCGAGCGTTGTCCCCCTAGCCCTTGCCGATAGATACAAGCAAACTCAACACAACAGGGGCGACCCGGCCTGCGTCATCAACAGAAGTCTGTTTCGACCAACAACCACTGGATCAAAACATGGAACCGTTGTTGGCGGTGAAAGAACCACGTAGTTAGGTGATTAACCAAGAGTGTAGATTGCGTTGGCTTAATACGACATCTCGTTTGGTATGGCATGCTCTAAGCAAGCAGTCACACATCCGCTTCCTCTTAATCTACCTCCCTCCTCGACCCGGACCTAAGCTTATTCCAAACTTTTCAGCTTGGCCAAAATCTGCAGAGCAACCAGCCTCGAGTAGTATCTGCACATGGCCAAGTTGCCGCCATGGAACCACAGGCCGGGGTGCCCACTGCTCGTCCAGATGGTCCGCATCTCGCCCTCTTCATCCCAACCCCAGATATCCCCCACCTTGTCCGGGAGCTCCTGTCCTAGAATCGCCTTGGCCGTCGTCCTCATGTTGTCGTATCCAGTCGCGAACACAATCTCATCCGCCTCCAACTCACTGCCATCCGCAAACTTCAAGCCCGTCGGCAGAACCTGCTCCACTTCTTGACCGTGCTTGACCTTGATCTTGCCGTCGATGATCAACTTTGAGCCGCCTACATCAATGTAGTAACCGCCTCCTCTCTGTAGGTACTTGCCGAAGATGCCTGAATCCGACGGGCCCTTGTCAACTTTGAAGCCGGCCTTTTCCAACCCGTCCAGAATCTCCTTGTCACGTTGTCCCGCGATGGTCGTGACATCCACCTGGAGAGACTTCAGAACCGGGCTTGGCATGCCCCAAACAAAGATGTCGCTGTCTTCCACTGGTGGGCTGGACTCCTCGTAGAGCCCGCCGAGCGCGACCTTCAAGCAGCTCTGGCTCGAGATGACAAAGGTGGACGAACGCTGCACCACGGTCACGTCGTACCCCTTCTCGACGTAGTCTTGGCAGATGTCCATGCTAGAGTTGCATGCGCCGACAACCACAGCCTTCTTGCCCTTGCCACTCTCGCGGGCACCAGGGAAGTCGCCTGAATGGCAGAGCCAAGCCACCCTTGAAGGAGTCGGTCCCTGGGATCGACGGCATGTAGGCCTTACCTGAATGTCCGGTTGCGATGATGAGGTGTTTGGGGATAGAGATTTCGTCTCCGACACGCCGTCTGCCCGAATGCGCCTGATCTCTACCGTCCACACTTTTTCCTTCTCGTCCCAGGAGCTGCTAATCAGCTCCGTCTGCGTCCACACGTTGAGCTCTAGGGCGTTGGCGTATGATTCAAACCAGTCACCCAACTTGTCCTTGGGCGTGAAGACAGGCCAGAAGTCGGGGAAAGGGATGTACGGCAGGTGGTCGTACCATACCGGATCGTGCAACACAAGCTGGCTGTACCGCTTGCGCCAGTTGTCGCCGACGGCCTTATTCTTGTCGATCATGAGGGCCGAAATCCCGAGCATCTTGAGCCGTGCAGCGGCAGTAATACCGGACTGGCCAGCCCCTGATGGCAGTCAGCACACCACCTTTCTCAAGAACAAGAGGCCTGTCTGACGGCGGAAGAAACACTCACCAACAATCAACACCTCCGGGCTGCCATCGACCAACTCGCTCTCATCCGCTCTCCTCTCCTTCCAATTCTTCCTGCCCTCCAACCCACCATGCTGCACCCCCTTTTCCCGCCTCGCTCACCTCATCTCGTCCGCCCTCTTCACCTCCTCCAGGGGAGTAAACACCGTCCAAAGCTTCCACACCCCCGCCTCCACCTCCACCACCTTGACGATCCCCCTCCCCACGCCCCCAACCGCGCCATTCTCCACCCTCACAAAAAACATCACCCCCTTCGCACCACCAAGCGGCCTAGAATCCGCCACCTGCGGCCTCCGAAACTCCGACGACCCATCCACCTCAAACCTAACCCCCCCATCACCACCACCACCACACCCCCCCTCCAAAAACCCCTTCACCCCCTCCCTCCCCTTGACCGTCCGCAACCGCCACGACAGCACCAAATGATCGCGCCAGAACGCCGTCACGCCCGACGGGGCGTCGGGCACGAACAGGTCGGCGGCGGCGGCAGCGTCGTGGTTGGCGAGGGCCGTGTTTGAGGGCGGCGATCAGGTGCTGCGCGATGGCGGGCGCGTCGATGGCTCTGTTAGGGGGTGGTTGTGTTGGGGGGCCAGACGGCGGGGGGGAGGTTGGAGGAGCCG